CAGCCTTGAACTATAATCTTTTTTAAGACTTTGTAAAATAAATAAAAAATAATAAATAATAACAAATCCGACACTGATTGTCTTCTGTAATTATTTATCCAATTCTCTGTGTTGAAAACAGATATTGTTGTTGTTAGCATGGCTGTTAGCTGTCCCCTGATGCCTTGGGTTGAGTCTGTCGGCTGTGTTCTTGACTTGTCAACCAATTAGAGGCTGTGTTCCTGGCTTGTCAACCAATCTGAGGCTGTGTTCCTGGCTTGTCAACCAACCAGAGGCTGTGTTCCTGAGTTGCTGACCAATCTGAGGGTGTGTTCTTGGCTGGTTTACGAATCCAAGGCTGTGTTCCTGACTTATCGACCAATTTGAGGCTGTGTTCCTGGCTTATCGACAAATCCAAGACTGTGTCGACCAATCCAACCAATCAACAGCTGTGTTTCTGACTTGTTGTCCAATCCAAGGCTGTGTTCCTGACTTGTCGTCCATTCAGAGGCTGTGCTTCTGGCTTATCAACCAATTAGCGGCTGTTTTCCTGACTTGTCGCCAAAACCGAGGCTGTGTTCCTGATTTGTTGCCCATTACAAGGCTGTGTTCCTGACTTGTCGACCAATCCGAGGCTGTGTTCCTGACTTGTTGACCTATCCGAGGCTGTGTTCCTGACTTGTCGACCACTCCGAGGCTGTGTTCCTGACTTGTCGACCAATCAGAGGCTGTGTTCCTGACTTGTCAACTAATGAGAGGCTGTGTTCCTGACTTGTCGACAGCACAGCTCTACCCTTCTGGGCAAAATAAAAGTAAGTCTCTAGTACGCAGCATTCTAGAGATATTTTTTCTCAATATAACTTACGTTGACCTGTAAGGGTTGAGAAAGAAGTGAAATCTGGGAGCATTTTCTTAAAGTGAAAAAGTTGTCACACAACATACGCAAGTCTGACTGAGCTTTCCAGGGAAGCACAGCGTTATCTTCAACCACAGGTAAACATAACACATCCAAGCAGCAGAACAGTCAGTCAACGCTAGCTTTCCCTCGACGTTGCTGTTCTGACAAACCGAACGCAAAGTTCACTGTGAGTGATTTGTCAGAATGAGCTAATGTTCCTCTTACAAACATCATGAAAGCTCATCATTACATTACTAGCATTAGCCACTGGAACACTCCAAACTGTATTAGTTTCTGTTGATTAGAAGTGTTTAGCAGCTACTTCAGAAAATAACAGAACATTCAGCAGCCCCTCCTGTCACAGCGCTACATACATTAGCTTGCTAAATACATACAACAGCTTAATTAGCTTAAAATACAGCTCTGTAAACATAGTTTTCAAGTGAAAAAATGCCATCTGCTGACTTGGAAACCTGTTCATTTGGCTGCCTTGGCCTGAATTAGGCTAAAATGTCAAACCAGTTAGAAAAGCTGATTTTTAGCTATTGCTAATTAGTAACTGTAGCTCAAAAATATGAGCAGCTCAAAAAAGCACCATGTTTGTGGTAATTTAGCTCTTGGTGAGCCAAACCTCAGGACATTGCCAAACATTTTATCATTAGAGCTCTTCACATTTACAGGCCACATTGAAGCTGATTAATATTAAAATATTAAAATATTCATTTTTTTGCAGCCGTAGATGAAATGTTCCACATGCTAATGCTACATTTTTCACTTGAGCCAAAATAATCGTTGGCGTGTTCGGCCTGTATTGCTACTAATACCCCAACATTCTTAATATAAAGATCAGTCTCACCGTGGTTCATTTCAAAATCATTTTAAATTGTTAATCTGTTGCATCTCCAGCACATTCACCAGATCAGAGATAAATATCCTTTGCTTCCTTCTTCCTCTCAGACACATGCACACACTTTCCCATCTGTGTTTTCAGCGAAGCGCCTTCACAGCTGAACTTTCTGAAATGTGGACAACAGCTCCACCCTGTGGGCAAAACCGAAACTCAACCATGGCTTAAAACACATTCAGCAAGCTTAACCAAGAAATGATGACTAATAACATTCTTCCATTTGGATTCCCAGCATTACAGGAGCACAGCTGTGGATGGAAACTGTGGGCCGATGCTAATATCCAATATTTTTATGTACATATCTGTAGACGCTGAAACATAATCATCTAGAAAATGTAGAAATTAGGACTTCATCTGCCTGGAGAGCCTAAAGAGAACAGCAGAGAACAAGAGATACGGCTGATGTACACTGAATAACTGAAAAAGAAATGAATTCAAGTCAGCTCGTGTTTCATTGACTACAGCAGGGGTCGGCAACATGCGGCTCCGGAGACACGCGCGGCTCTTTTCCTGCCCTGTTGTGGCTCCACAGCAGAATTAGATTTGTAGGTAAAAATAAAATAATCCTCCTTTACAGTAAAATAAAGCTCTGCTGATCGTTCAACACAGTTTAACAATAATGTGTTAAGTGCTGAAGTTAATATAGAACTGCTAATTCACCCTTTAACCCTGAAGGTTCGTACTCAGATAGGTTGGTGCGCAGATCGTCATAGCAACACAGACAGCAATCTCGCCTAGCTAGCAGCTAATGAAACCGTTAAATCGTTAATTTGGAGATGAATGGGCTTATCTGTGTTTATAAGCACTTCAGCTGCTTTCCCGATACGTTTAATCTACAACAATAAACTGTCAAACACTAAAAAGTCGCGAGCCTGAAGTCAGCTTCTCGTTCGAATTCTCCCATTCCACCTTAAATGGTGCAGCAGTTGCATTCTAATTTAAGGTGGAATGGGAAAAGAAGTTGGCGAATGGGAAGCGACTCGTAAAAAATCGAACGTTGAGAGGCATTTTACAAGAAACTATTCTACTTTAGTGGAAAAGGTTTCCTGCCAGAGATGCGAGAAAAGCAGCTATAGCTGAGCTAAAGCTTAAAGCAGAGCAAAGTAAGTCTGCGTTTTTGTTTATATCATATTTTTTTGTCTATACTAGGACATCAGCACATACTGAGACAAGATGTTGAAATGTTACTTCAATAAGATGGACATAAAATGTGGCTCCCAAAGTGGTTTGATTTTTGTTGAAAGGACAAAATGGCTCTTCGTAACATTTGGGTTGCCGACTCCTGGACTACAGGAGCCTTCAACTGTGTGAACCACATAAAATTATGGACTGTCCACAAGAAAATGGGTAAACCATCTCATTGTTCTAGTGTGGAACTTCTACACTGATTAACAAGCCAATGTCTTGACAGACAATTGACAAACAGACTGGTTCATATCAGTAAAGGAGTCAGACTAGGCTGTGCACCATCACTATACACGCTCAACCTGTATACTGGATATTTCATTCTTTGACGAAAGAAGCAGAACTGCTGAAAATGACCAAGGATTCAGGATTGGTGGAAGCCATACCAGTAACCCTTTGATGATGACACAACACTGAAAATCAAGGAGATCTGAAGGCCCTTATTAGGAAAGTTAAAGATGGGACTTCAGCTCAGTATGAAAAAAAAGCAATGGAAAAGACTGTTACGTTTACCATAATGTAGATAGAGAATTGGTGGACAGCCTTAGCCTGATGAGAGAAGACGAGAACTGTCCAGACTGTGGTCTTCACTGTGGCTCTTTATGGATGTGGAAGCTGGACAATTAAAAAGGGGGACAAGAAAAATATTGATGCCTTCGAACTGGTGCCTTTGGGTACCATGGTCGGCAAAGACCAAATCAAGCCTCGCCTCTCACTCAGAGTCCGGACAGCCAAACTGAAGCTCTTATTTTGGATTCTGAGAAGAATCAATTCACTGGAAGAGACAACAATGCTTAGAACAATAGAAGAGGACGACCAGCTACAAGATAGATAGTAATAATAAGAGGAATCATGAACGAGCCATTCAGAAGCCTGAAGGCCCAAACAGAAGCCAGGACATTCTGGAGAAACGACTAAATGGTTGGATCTGACTTCATGGCACCTAACAATAATAACAAATGCAGTATACTGAATAAAATACAGACATTTTAGCACATTACCATCGTTTTTTCCCCATGTCTTCTCCCACATCACCCAGCATTGCCTAAACATTCTGCTGTTTCAGCAAACAATGAATACATCATAAAATATCAGTTTGAAATATGAGTTGAATGTAAACATCTGTCCAGTGCTGATCATTTTTTAAAGCAATTATCTTCTGATAACAATCTGATTCCAATATCACTGTGCGTCCTTAAAAAATGAATTATTTGTGCTCAAAAGTAATGAACTAATCTATGTGTCTGTACTGACGTCTTATTAACAGTTTAACAATGGATTTTAAATTGCTTGACATAGTGTAGCTCATAGTCAGGGACAAAGGCATAAACATTACTAGGCCATTGGCAGCAACCAAGACAAAGAAAGCAAGAAACTGTTTGTCCTGTTTTCGGCTTGAAAAAATCTGAAATATAATTTTACAGCTAAGACTATTCGGTGAAAAAGAATCAGTGAGTGCTTGAGTGCTACATTATATGACCAAAAATGATCCAGACAGCCCTTCTAATGAGTAAATTCAGCAGCTTTGAGGCGCGGACCAGGGCGACGTTTGAGACGGAGCCCAGTGACTCACTCGCAGCTTTCATAACTGAATAATAGTGATTTTGTCTGATTTGTTTGACCCTAGCTAGCTAGTCTTTCACTCGGAGAAAGATCTGTTATCTCAACCCTCTTCCCTCATCACTCCTTTAAACCTTAAAAAGCCCTTTGTTCTGTCCGGATGTCTCGTTTTCTCGTGAATTAACAAAAGCTTGAGAGAGTATCCCCCTCAAACAGCTCGCCTGCCGGACCGAGTAAACAAGAGCGGGAACAGGTCTCCCAGGCAACATAGTGCTCTCGCTCGCGCATTATTTTTTTCCCCGCCCGTATTCCGACAAATTCTCACTATGATTGGATAGTAGCATCCCGCGTCCTGCGCTTGGATTGGTTAGAAGTTCACACTCACTCCTATCAACCAATCCTAGCGCAGGACGCGGGACACGAATAGCCAATCCCAGCTCAGGCGGCGGAATACGGGCGGGAAAGAAAGAAACAAACCAAAAAAACTCTAAGCGGTGTTCTCGGGTAGTGATTGCAGTGATGGCATAGCAACCAGAACAAGCTAACAGGCTAATACTGAGGAGAACTGTTTGAGAGAGTTTAGGCGGACAAAATTAAAAAAAAATAATAATAATAATTGTTATATAAATATTTTTATTGTTATATTTTAGTAACAAATCAATATTTTGGTCTTGTGAACGATGGACAGGAAAAGAACCGTCAGGAGAGCCACTTCGGCGGGTTATCGTTTACCGGAGCGACCGAGCGTTGCCCTCGCCTCGCAGTCCTCGGTGTCTGTGGGGAGACCCTTGCCGGGCAGGACACGAAGCAGCGAGCCGCCGGAGCGAGATATCGACACCCGAGACCCGGTAAAACAGGACCAAGTCTGGCGGGAGTTCGTGCACAACGAGCAAACCGGAGCGAAGGAGTGGTAACGTAACCCAACGAAGCTGAAGCCGGCAGCTTCTGATTCGAATTTCCCCGTTCCACCTTAAATGGTGCAGCCGTTACATTCTTGCGCCGCAGGTCTCAGGCGCTAGAATCGCGCTGCTGCAACATTTAAGGTGGAACGGGGAAATTCGAATAAGAAGCCAACTCCAGCCTCGTCATAATCCATAACTGTGCCACACTCTTTGTACTGATGATAAGCTGCCGGTTACCGGTGCCGTTTTGGCCGCGGACTTTCTCCCGTGTCGAACTGATAATCTTTTAAAGCGAGCTTTTGTTTCGCCGTTATCTGATACGGAAAGATTTGCGGTTGACCGGGTGCCCTCTGTACGGTGTGCTTTACAGTAGAGACGCACGAGTCGTATATGAGTCGGTTCAGTGGAACCGATTCTTTTCAGAGGATCAACTGAAGTACAACTTTTTTGGAGCACAGGTTCTTCTTTTTTGTAGTACATGGTTCTCCAAGGGTTCTTTAGTAAAGAGGACGCTTCAGTTAAGTTATATATTGAACCATTTCATGTTTAATTGGTTCTTCTTTTTGAAAGTGGTTCTATATATCACCTTTTTGGTGCTGTATAGAACCATTTTCAAAAAAGGTTTTATACAGAACCATATACTACGCAGTATATCAGTCTGAAAAGCCATTTCACCATGAAAAGAACCATTAAACGTGCAGATGTTCTACATAGAACTCATGGTTTTAACCCTTATGTTCTGTTTGGGGTCCCTGAGACCCCAGAGCCTCTTCAGCAACTCACAAAATATCCTTTTTTAATCAGCTTAAAACTTAATGACCTTTTACCAATTTTACGGAAAATGCAAATGAACAATATTTTTATACTGATATTGTGTCCCGAGACACCGCCTAGAGAAATTTATACACAACTTGTGTATTTGGTATTTAGTTTGTGTCTGTTGTTCAGAGTACAGCTGACTCTCTTACACACACACACACACACACATATGGGGTGTATGTAATGCTAAATCCAACTATGCATGGAAAATGCATATCAGAAAACTCAGTAGCACTCCGAGAGAACAGGACATGATGGTCGTCCTAAATGGACAATATATTTTTTCTAGTATATAATCCATAGGGTTTTACTAATGAAAAGAAATCTAAAAATATGTTCATACATACATACATACATCATCTAAACCGCTTATCCTTCTGGGTCGCGTTGGGGTGCTGGAGCCTATCCCAGCTGTCATTGGGCGGAAGGCAGGATACACCCTGGACAGGTCGCTAGTCCATCGCAGGGAAAAATATGTTCAAATGTGAGAAAATATTACATATACCTCTGTTTACCCCCCCAAAAAATTGTTATGGTAATTTGCATATTGATTCACCTTCCTGAAATTTGAAACCCCAGTTTGTTGTTAAAAAGGGTGAGAAATACACTAATTTTCAGTGTTTCAGAGTTAAAATATCTTTAGTCTGGAATATTATAACAGTATTTGGACTATTTAACAAGGGTTAAATAGAACCATTGCCTTTTATGAAAGAACTCTCAAAGGACCATCTTTTCAAGAGTGTAGAACCATTTTCAAAAAGGTTCTGTACAGGACTTCTTTTTTCTCACTGTGTGAGGACTTGGTACTTTCGAAGCAAAGTATTAGTAATAATCCATAATGAATTTACTTCCAATATATTTTATTAATAAATCAAATGGAAGTGATGTGTCAAGTGAACTAGAAGGCTCTCATTCAGTGCCCTTGTTTGGAGCATGAGACGCAGGCTGCCACTCATCTGTGATAAAATGCGCTGTTATGGTGATCCAGTGACATAAGATCCAGTGGCACTGGATGTCCACACAGCGCATGTTACAGCTGTCCTACCCGTTTTCTTTAGTGATTTTATAATTTCCCCACCCCTACAAAGAACTGTTTAAGCATAGAACTATTCACTTTACTAAAGAACCATCGAAGAACCATCTTTTTTAAGAGCGCCAAATTATATGTTTATTTCTGTGTTATGGGCTGAAGACTTATCAAACTCAAATAGTGATCCTTCACATTTCAGCCTTGTAAAATCAGAACAATAGGGCTAAATATCTGCCGCTGTAGTGGACAACATTAGAAACAACATTTCTGAATTGGCTTCTGTGTCGAATAATCATTTACAGCCCAGGGAATTGTTCAGCTTGATGCTCAGTTCTTTGAAGTGGACAGTTCAAAAGAGTCAGTTCGATAGACTGCATCAAGCGTCCCCTCACTAGTGGACAAAGTCTGTATTATTTAACCTACGTTTGCTGTAAAGCTCTGGTTACTGTACACCAGAGCACACTGTTAGATCGGAGCTATGCAGTGCTCAGTCTTATGGGTCGGCAATATGAAAATAATGTATTGTTATTGTGATAAATTGTGTCTCAATATGCTTTTCATTTATGCTTTTAACTGCGGTGCTGCTTATGCATTGTGCCTGTTTCGACCATCGACACCATAGACAGTATATATGAAGTTCCCATTGTAAAAATGTCTTAATGTATTGTGATATAGTGTCCATTTGTAGCTTACATTTTTCATTATATTTTGTTAAAGATTCTAATCTTCGTTCATCTTGCCCTCATTCATAAAATCTTACTTTTCTTCTCAGGGAGAAGAACTGGAGCTTTCTAAAAGACTTTGACCAGCTGGTGAGGAACTTCACAACTTGTCTGCTTATTCAACTTTTCTGTTAAATTTTAATTTTTCAGCAATAAAAATCTACAAATTTGGGGCTTTTGTTAGATCATGTTTTTACATATGAAATGAAAACAACAACTACATTGAAAAATCATGTTATTAAAGGAGAAGTTAAACATCAGAAATGTGTTTTTTGCATAGAGCTTAGTTGGGCTATGCTAATGTTTGGCACACTGCAGATTCAGTTAAGTGGCCCACAACGGGGAAATTTCACCTCTGCATTTAACCCGTTCGTGCAGTGAAACACCACATACACACTAGTGAAGACACACACTAGGGGGCAGTGAGCACACTTGCCCGGAGTGGTAGGCAGCCCTATCCACAGTGTCCGGGGAGCAGTTGGGGGTTGGGTGTCTTTCTCAAGGGCACTTCAGTCACGTACTGTCGGCTCAGGGGATCAAACCGCCAACCTTCCAGTCACAGGGCTGGTTCCCTAACCTCCAGCCCATGACTGCCCCCTAGTTGTGTGCCAAAGTTTTTAACACCCCCTGGTCATATTAGATTTTGTTGATTTTCTGAGTGGAGATAAGTTAACACGTCATCTACAGTGAGTACACTTAAATATGGCACTTATTTGCAAATTTTAGTGCATATTTTCTCTTTATTTGCTGATTTTCTAACATATTGGAAAACAATAAATTATACAATGTGCTGCAACTTTTGCACAGGCCACATTTTTTGTTAATTTTTAATATTTTTTTTAGATTAGGAAAATTATATTCTCCATTTAGGACAACCATCATGCCCTGGTTGTTCTGTGGAGCGCTATCCGGAGTATTTCCTGTATAAATATGCATTTTCCATGCATAGTTATTAAATAAACATTATTTCTGCATTCAATTGTGCAGAGGTCCGTTCTCTTTAGAGGATGTATTAAGTTATTTACACTTAGAAAATCATTTGACATTTGCATACGACTGTATTTGATCAACCCCGGTTCTCTCCAAAATCTCTCCTTCAGGGTCGCCCCAGGACGGAGCCCCCCCTCCCCAGCTATGTGCCTCTGTACTCTGACACAGTTCCCAACACCACCAACCAGACGTTTGGCAGCCGGGTGTGTACTGAGCTGGGTAAAGAGCTGATGCGGATTGACAAGCTGCTGATTCTAACAGCATCACACCGAAAGACCAAACAGAGTCCTGAGATGCAGCCCTGCTGACATCTGCTACCGTGACAGGCGGTCACAACCATTATTTTAGCTGAGAGATTTTAGTTACAGGAGAACCAAAACATCTCCAAACAGAACTAACTCTACACTGCTAAGAAGATGCGTTAAATGGACTTGATTCAAATGTGTACATCAGGACTAAAATATATTACATCAGCACAGTTATTGTCAAAAGTATGTGAACAGGCAGACAAAACCTGTGCTGATAACTGGCAACAAACACATTTGAATCAAGTGCATTCAGTAATTTGTGCCGAAAAAATTTCGTTTTAATGCTAAAATGGTAAATCTGCTCTAAAAGGTTTCTCTTGGTGCAGAAATACTGTATACACTACTGTTTAAAAGTTTCGAATCACTGTTCAAAACACTTTTGAATAATGGTTTTGTTGCAGATACAGGTATAACGATTCTGATATGATGCTAATTTGCTATAGGTTTCAAACAATTTATAGGAAGCTGTACAAATTCAGAAATGTTCCATTATAAACGCAGCTGTAGATGATTCCGTTATAATGGAGAAAGCTGTACAGCAGGGGTCTTTAATTAAAATTCAATAAGGTCCAGTTAGAGAAAATATCCTCAAGCGAAGGTCTGAAACATCATAATGTCTAAGTTGCGTTATGATTCAGTGCCATATACAGTTTACTGAAGTGGCCTAGTAGGTATATCAGCATCTTATACAGTCGACAACTGAATGTCAAATCAAACAAAGTACAGTTCAGTCATATTTCAACAACATTTATTGTCAGTTTCCTCCTTTTAGATCACGACATGTGAAATAACTTCCCTCTGACTCACTTTCTTCTCTGACTGCTGTGTCTCGCCTCGTCCCTCCCCTGTGTGTGCGTCACTCACTCGAGTCTCAGTGCTCATCGTAATGCACAGATCTGATTGGCTGAGTAGCGTCACGTGTGATATGTACAATGCATGCGATTGGTCTGTGAGTCTCCCGGGCCGCTAAAGTGGTACTGTAAAGGCTAGAAAAGCTACGCCAATTAAAATGGGACCAAAATTTAAATAAAATTAAATAATTCTCCATAGTTTATTGTTTATAGGTCCAGGTCCGCATTGGACAGCGTCTGGATCCGGACTCGGACCGTGGTCCACCTATTAATGACCTCTGCTGTACAGCATTTAAAATGAAGTAATAATGAAACGAATATCCAGAATTTCTCATATTTGAAAAGTGCTGACCAAATCTCGCTGCTTATAGAACTTCTATGACAAGAAATTACTGTAAATACACTCTTAAAAAAGATGGTTCTTCAAGGGCTCTTCAGTGAAGAAAATGGTTCTATATAGAGCCATGAACACTCAAAGAACCCTTTACATGATTAAAGGGTTCTTTACGTCATGAAAAGTTCTTTGGATTGATGGAAAATGGTTATGAATGTGGATAGATGGTTCTATATAGAACCTTTTTGAAATGGGTTCTACATTCCCACTCAGGGAAACGTTATAAGGAGTGAATGAGGGCAGCCAATCAGAACAAAGCTCATTTACATATATCAAGCTTAAAGGCACAGTAACAAAAACAGCCTGTTTAATTCTAAGACATAAAGAGAAGCTGGAAAATGGTCATGTCAAAATTAAATATGTTTTTGATAGATAAGATCTTCCAAATGTCCAAAAGTGGACCTCAGGAGTGAAATAGATGCAAGAAAAATGTAGGATATGGCCCTTTAAATTGGGAATACACCATTTTGGTGTCAATAAAATGTCAATCTACACAGTATAATTATTGAATAACAATTATTATGACAAGTGATTCCAAACTCAACAGTAGTGTAAATGAAATGAAGATTCTGCACTAAATGACCTGATCGTAAATGAATGATCGTTTTCAAGAATATTGAATGTTTTTTCCTTTAAAGTACATATCAACGGAGCCCCTAAGGGGCCGTGGTTAAAAAAAAAGTTAATGACATTGCGTTCCCTCGCAAATGTTTTGCGATCCCTTGCAAATAAAAATGCTTGTCAGACAGCAAGCAAACGTAGGACCAGTGTTGCCCAACAACATTGCCTACATTAGAGCTTTGTTTTTAGTATAGCTAACATTGAAAGCTGTTTTCAATCCAAGATCAACGTAAAATTCAACGAGCTGCTTCATGTCTGAGCTTAAGTAAGCGAATGCAAACCGTTTGCATTGTAATGCAAAACATTTGCGAGGGAACGCAGTGTCATTGACTTTTTTCTTTTTTTAACCACGAGCCCTTAGGGGCTCCGTACGTATCGGATATTTACAGGGTTTTTCTGATCTAAGGTTCCAAGATGAATCCTCTTTACTGTCTCTGGCCTGTACACCTTCAAACTCCTCTTACGTTTTCTTTCACTATTTCTGAATCGTAGCTCATTGAAACAGGATGAGAAATGAAGAAACAAACATTCGTTACATTTTTACTCATTTTTAGTCAAAAGTTCAGACCCGAACCTGTCAATACAGAGTGCAAGTTGAGTATAAACATAAATCATCTCGCGGTTACGCTGCTCGCTTATTTCCAGTACCGCTGTCTGTTTTCGCACATGCTCAGACTGAGAAATCCGAAAGAAATCAGAGTAAGAGTTCACATGCACTGAGAAATCTGATCACTGAGCTAAAACCCAGCCTCTTTATCGGATTTCTTAATCAGATTTCTAGATTGGAGTATGGTGTTTACATGACCATTTGAATAATCAGATAACTGCAGACATCTGACTGTGATCGGATTATTGAGTGCATGTAAACACACTCATAGAGTCTGGGTATGTTTTATTCTGCTGTTCGTTGATTTCTATTCATCATCCTCTTTGTGCTGCTCTTTCCCTCCCGGCACACTGTCAGCACTGGACATCCCTCTTCTAGATCTCCTTTTTTGCTAGAATTATTTAGACAGTTTTCAGTTTCTGTGGCTACAAGCAGTTGATCTCTTCCACAGTTGGCAAAATACCTCATATAGCATTGCAAAGTCAAATATGCACATTTAAATATTACTTACTATATATTTATTGCAGTACATGTAAAAATCTGTTACCTGATTCATTCAGTTGTTCCTCAGTATGAGTTGCACAGTGGCGCTCGTGCCAAATGCTTTAAAGTGTAGTAAATGTTGCACTGCCTTTCCATCCCAATGTTACGAGTGGCGACGCGCCTTTCGGATAGTCTGGATTTGTATTGGAATCAATACTGACCTTATTGTGTAAGTCAGACGTGACTGATCCAGAGTCGATACAGCCTCTTAGTCATGATCATTATAAAATGTTAACAGTGCGATGTTGTATGTTTTAGTCCAATATAATTAAAAACTTACATTTCTGAAACGAAGGTTGTGTGACTGTCCATTTTATTATCATTTGAAAAAAACGGCTCCCTTTACATAGTGACAAATTTTAATGACAAATCTGAACCAAAAAATCTGGCTGGATTAATTTACATTATAAATTAAGTTTTTTTTTTTCATTCATCATTTTGGAGATTGAGGTTTTGCTCCGACAGCAAAGATATAGTTATATAAAGTTATATAAGTCTATATAAGTTTCATTTCCTTTGCCTGATTTAACCTCTTCAACCGCTGGCTTATCATTCTGTTATTAATCTTACAACCTATTATTCAGTAACTATTCAAAATTATTCAGTAACTACTATAAATTATTCAGTAAATAATATTAATTATTTGGTAACGTCTTTGAATTATTAAGTACTATAAATTAGTAAGTAATTACTATAAATAATTAGGTAACTACTATGAATTATTCAGGCACTACTATGGATTATTCAGTAATTATTACAAATTATTCAGTATCTACTATGCATTATTCAATAACTACTGTAAATTATTCAGTAACTGCTACAAATTATTCAGTAACAACTATGAATTATTCAGTAATTATTACAAATTATTCTGTAACTACTGCAAATTATTCAGTAACTCCTATGAATTATCCAGCAATTACTATGAAGTATTTACTGATTATTCATTAATTATTATGAATTATTCAGTAACTGTTATGAATTATTCAGGAACTATTATGAATTGTTTAGTAACTGTTATGAATTATTCAGTAACTATTATGAATTATTCAGTAACTGTTATAAATTATTCAGTAACTGTTATGAATTATTCAGTAACTGCTATGAATGATTCAGTAACTTATGAAACTGTGTTATGAAAGTGTGGAATTGAAATATGGACCCACACATTGATCCTTAAGACTTTAAGTCACTGAGTGTATTTAATTGATTTTAAATCCGTTTTATTTCTTACACATATTGAGAGCTTTGGTTTGAGGCTGTGTGCTCAAATATTATCTTCAATTTATGGAATAAATAACAGTTTTTTAATGTTAGGCTGAGTGTAGGAGTTGCTTTGGCAGCGCGCTGTGGTGGCTGATCACATCGAGCTTCGTGTTGGCATCAGACTGAGTCTGGCACATTAATGTTGCTTATCTTCCAGTAACATCAGGAGCTGCTTTATGACTCATTTATGTTTTGCCTTTATTGATTCATAAGCTCCTGACTCAGGCTTCAGCGAAAAACAGGTGCAATTAGTCACAGAGGTTTTTATTATTATTATTTCATGAAAAAAAATTCAAGAGCGGTTCCTGTAAAAGATGCATATCTGAAAATCTGGTTTACTTCTCCACCAAAATGGTTCTCAGAAAGTTTTTCTTTTATCTCAGTTAAGTGGAGGAGAAGGTAAAGTGTGCCTGTCAAGTGCTGATTATTATTCATTTGTTTTATTAGATGATCAGTTTGTTTTCTATCTTTCTCTCTATACATACAAACACCTGACTCACATGCTTAGAAACTGTTGTTATTTACTAGCAGAGCTGGACTGTATGGCTGTATGTGTGATAATACAATATAACACACACACACATATGTGTATGTATATGTATGTGTATATATATATATATATATATATATATATATATATATATATATATATATATGTGTGTGTGTAATATTGCTGAGGGAGCTCCAGAAAATAAAGAAATTCCATATCTCTATAAAGATAATGGTAAAGACCATTAGGTTATGTGTTTCTGGCCCACCAGGGGGCAGTGTTGCTCTAATCGTTGACTCATTTGGTCAGTGCTGGTTGTTGTAGTACAGTCATGTGCACTCTTAAAAAAAGATGGTTCTTCAAGGGTTCTTTAGTGAAGAAAATGGTTCTATATAGAACCATGAACATGCAAATAAACCTTTGCATGCTTAAAGTGTTCTTTGCGTTGTGAAACTGCTCTTCAGATTGATGGAGGATGTGTTTTATATGGTTCTATGCGGAACCTTTTTGAAAATGGCTCTATATAGCACCAAAAAGGGTTCTTTTATTGTTACAAGCTTGACATCATAACCATAGAAGAACCCTTTTTTGGTGCTATATAAAGAACCATATACAACACATTCTGTGTCCACTCACTGTCCACTCTATTAGACACTCCTACCTTGTCAGTCCACCTTGTAGATGTAAAGTCAGAGACGATAGCTCATCTGCTGCTGCACAGTTTGTGTTGGTCATCCTCTAGTCCTTCATCAGTGGTCACAGGACGCTGCCCACAGGACGCTGTTGGCTGGA